CTTCCTCCCCTTGGACGAAATTAAGGCCAAATTCAGCTTCAAATTGTCTAGATTCATCCCAAATGATCTAGAATATTCATCCAATTTGAAGATAAGAAGACAAAGCATTCAAGTGCATTTTATTGCTAAATTGATGAGAATGTTTTCATCTTTTGAGTCTTTTCATATGCTTCTTAGAAATACTATAAATAGGCACCTTTGGGATCATTTGTGGACACATTTTGAATATATAAAACATCTTTTAGAGGTTGCTTTCATTCTTGTTCTCTTGTAGAACTTTATCGGCTTCAAGATAGTCTTGTAGTCTTCATCCATTTCTTTTTGTTATAGCGTTGGTTCCTAGCTCATCTATAGCTAGTGGGTCACGTTCCATACCCTACCATTTCGATTCCATCTTTTATATTGTTGGTTCTTAGCTCCAAATAGCTAACGGGTCACAATCCGCTTTAACCTTACAACACTTACCACGACAACAACATTTTCCACGACAACACCATTCATACTTCACCATCTATTTTCATTATCATTAAACCACAACAACCATCACTCTTCCATCACCTTCAAACAACTTCCCCATTCTTTTCATTCCATCATTTCAATTATTATTTCATATCATTTTCCTTCTTAAGTTTATATTTATACAATTTCAGAGTTCAAGCTATCATTATGGGGTTTCTTACTAGAATCACGATTGGGCATTCTTATATACGACTCGAAACAAATAATCGAGATCATATCACTAGGGGAACATCCTTTTGAATTTTCAAGTTAGATATGAGACCATAAGGATATTTTTGCGTCGTTAGTTAATGGTTTGTGTGATCTCCTACAAATATTTAGTAATCCAAGGTTCAACATTAGATGTAGAGATCTTCATGAGATCATTAAGGATACCCAGGTTACTTTTTCCAGTATAATGATCACCTTGTTTTTAAAAAATATTAGGATATATATCAGCTAGTGCCTGGGCACTTTAGCTGCTAATTGGGCACATATTCCCCTTGTAATATCGAGGAGAAAGTTAGTTGGGTGTACGTTTTTGAGGCAATAATCTCATCTCTCACCCTAAGTACAAAGGGTATTATAGTAAGATAGTGAGTTGCGAGTCTTGAGGTGTAGAGATCCCTTCGATTTTTCCATGATATATATGAGTATATGAGCGTGATATACAACATATGGCAGTATGCAGTGTTATCTAATACTGTGGATTTTAGTTCTTGTGTCTAAAGGGGACCAAGTACTTTAAGCTTCGATCGACTAGCATTAGTTGTCACCGAATAACTCAATGGTGGTTAGGGATAGTGATTACAAGACGTAGAGTCTCAGAATTCTTAATTCAGTGTGTGATTACTTTAGACCTCCATTTTGTGATACGTGCTCTCAGGAGAGCTAGATATTGCTAATTCCACTAGGCATGTAATACCCCAAGTTTTGACTACTGAACAAAAATAAGTTTTGAAAGTTTAGTGGCTAAAGTATGAACTTTGTAAAAGTTAGGGACAAAAAATGTATTTTTCAAAAATTATATATTTTGGCACGTAAATGAATAGTTTGTCTTGAAACTAATGTTTTTTTTGTTGGAGTCAGAATTTTTATTCGGGATTTGTATTAAAAGTTATAAAGCAATAAAGTTCATTAAGAAATCGGATAACCATATCGAATCAGAATTTTATGAAAATTTGAGGGATGGTAGATAAAGGTTAGAAATATTATTTCCATATTTTATAACAGTAAAATTTAGCATGGATCAATGGAATTTAAATTAATTTTCCCTATTTAGCTAAAATTGGGAAAATTAAGTGACTAAATTACAATTTTTAAAAATTGGATGGCTAAAGTAGAAAGTCAACTTCAAGTTGGTTCATCTTTTACAATGGGATATTTTAATGGAAGATATTTCAATGGAAAATCGTAATTATCATGATTTATTAAGGACAAAGTTGGAATTTCTCATTAATTAAATTTTAAATTCAATTATATAAGAATTATGGCAAGTGTTTTAAGTGATAATTACATGAAAAATCAAAAGAAAAATAAGTCTTCGTCCTCAAGCTTGTCGTGAACTCCATACCCAAATTGGTGGGGATTTTAATTTGATTTTTAAGCTTCTATAGTTGATTTTTGGATTAAGCTATTAGATGGAGAATTAATCTTCTTAAAATTCTCTATCATTTGATATAAAAGCCACATCAAAATCATGCTTAGATGTTAAGTTTCCTGAATTGGGTGGTTGAAAAACATGTTTTATTTTGAAGGTTTGAAGGAAGATTTTTATGTTATTGATGTTGTAGATTAATTCTAAAGCATTAATGACGACTAAAATCAAGTGTAGAGACTTATATGAAATTCGACCATACTAGGGTTCATTAAGGATTAGTGGAATTTTGATTTAATTTGATGTTAGGATGATTGGAATAACATGAATTTAATGTTAAGAGGTTGAATTAATGCTTAAAATTGAATGAAAAGTTTACCCTAATGTATTGTTGATATTCGGCTATAGGGATAAAAATAAGATAAAAATGTTAAAAAATTCATGTGGTCTAGAATTGATATTAGATGTATTCTACATGCTTTGGAGATTGAATTGGATCAATTTGGAACGTTGAGATAGTGAAATGACCATTTTGCAAGTTTTGGAAATTTTGGGATATTGATGAGAGATTGTGCAACTAGGGGTATTCAATTTTGAATTTTAATTATTGAATGCTGGATTTTAAGTTAGAATGTTGATTTGGGACTATAGTGCAAGTTTGGTGAAATTCCATAATGGAATTCGAATAGTCATGAAATGTAAGGACTTAATTGTAAGTTTGTAAATGTGATGAAACTGTTTGAATACTATACTACAATGCTGGAAATTATTACTTGAATACTGATTTTTAAATTTATGTATATGTTTGGGATCAATTTGCAAGTTAGTAAAGTTACTGGTTAAATTTGAAAAGGCTAGGGAAAATTAAGGATGAAATTGAAAGTTTTCAATTCTTAAAGTGTTGGATTGAGTATATTATTCTATGTGCTGGAAATTTTAGTATTTGATTTGAAGTAAGCATAATGGTGAAGGTCATTGTGAATTAAACGAAAAACGTTGATGTGAATTCTAAAAAGAATTCATAAATAGTGATTTAGATGCAAAGTTTGTGAAAGTTGAAAGATTGATTATGGAAAAGAATATTTATGGAATCAAATAGTTACTTTGGAAAGTTTGAAGTTATGATGGAATTTGTAATTTAGTTTTATATCGATTTAGTATCAATTATGCTTATAGAATTTATTTTATTAGAATTAGATTATGTTAGTATAATATAACATATAGTTGAAATGGTGTTACGTATGTGGTGTCATACAAATTATGAAAACAATTGATTCCAATGACTTGAAATGAAAGGCAAAGCACCTGAGTAAAAGGATATCATAGAAAAGGTTCAATAGTGAGGCAAAGGTGAGTGCTATTTATTTAATTTTTTATTCTGATCGAGGAAGACTTGCGATAAGTCAACCTCATATTATTTTAAAGTATGATTCAATTCTAATTATGGAATATTTACGTAATGCTTACATAAAGGTTTATGAATGATATTTGGGTGAGAATTACCAAATTTTTCTATATATGATATTTTTTTGAAAAGATGTTTGAATGAAATCACTAAAATGATTCGTGTATGAACTGTCCACCTTATAATTTTATATTAATAAGATGAAAATGATTCTGATTTGAAATGTATGATTAGTAAATGAATATGATATGATCTAAGAGCCCATTGTATGTTGCATTGAGAGTCGTAGGTACACTTGGCATGCCATGAAGTTGAGTAAAGTAAAGTTCGATTCCGATATGGTACATTTAAATCAATAAATATTTTCATTCGAATTACTATATACTGGGAGCCTTGGTGTTGCTGAGTAGCAGAGGTACATTGAAAAGTGCTCATCCAAAAGATTAGTGTTATTAACAGTTTGAGTCTTTAATTGATGAAAATTATTAAATTAGTTCAAATGGATTTAATCAATGCTGATCATGTAGAATAAATATATCATGTTTGTATAAAAATTAGAAGTTATAATATCATATCCCTTGATTCGATAGCTGACCAATTACTTTTTGGAATGCTGTAGCATGATATAGTACCTCTCATTATTGATTGCTTTATTTTCTATCTAGAATCTCATTCATTTGACGCATTTTATTGTTAAAAACTCTAATTTCAAGACCATGCTCCTTGTGGGTTTGACATCTGAAACTCTCTTAGTTTCACTTTATTACTTGATTTGCGATACATGCACTTACGTGATTGATATAACATTTTTGTAGCATCAAGTTTTTGGAACCAATGAGCATCAATTTTACTTTAGAGTTTATTTTATTTGTTTTCTAGTTTATTTTATTTTTGTAGGTACTTTGCTTTATTAGTTTTGATGGTTTATGACCCATAGTGACAATGAGCTAGAGCCTTTCGATTCGGAGATAGAACAAACATTTGATGCCATCGAAGAGAAGCTGTTAGAAATCAAGCAATCATGAATGTTGGAAACAATAACAATGCTCTACCCTCGTTGCAGAATAGAGAGAATGATGATTTGCCATCTAGAATCGGAGTTGGACAACCACATTAGAAGATAGATGATCAAAATTGCCCTATTCGTGAGCATGTGGTGCTGACATTAGACAATTTGCATTTGGGCATTGTGAGGCCATTTATTAATGCTGCGAACTTCAAACTAAAGTTGATTATGTTCTAAATGCTATCGTCTATGGGATAATATGGAGTTTCTACTGTTGAAGATCCTAGAGCCCATTTGGGAGCTTTTATTATGGTTTGCGATTCTTTTATTCAGCAACGTGTTCATATGAGGCACTGAAGCTAAAACTATTTCCCTATTCATTATGTGAAAAAGTACAAGTTTAGTTGAGCTTATTGCCGCTAGGTGCTGTAGCATCTTGAAATGAATTAGCATAGAAGTTCTTGTTGCGATTCAACCCACCGAATATAAATGCTAAGCTTCGAAATAATTTGACTTCATTTAAGCATATGGATGATGAAAGCTTGTATGAAGCATGAAAAGATTTAAAGATTTGTTACAGAAGTTCCTATACATGGTTTCTCCTATTGGACTCAAATGGAGATGTTTTATAATGGGTTAAATATTCACACTCGTATGGTGGTTCATGCCTCACAAAAGGAGTTTTTCTGGATAAGACATATAATGAAGCATATGATATCCTCGAGAGAATCTCCACCAATGATTGTCAATATCCTAATATGTGCAATACATTTGGTCGACGTGGTGCTACAATAGTAGACTCATAAGCTTTTAACTCTATGGCTTCTCAAATTTCAGCATTGACCAAAATGGTGAGAAATTGCATAAGTCATGAGGAATATATGAAGTCAAAGCCATATCTATTATCACTTGCGTATATTGTGGTGATGACCATAATTTTGATGAATGTTCCCAAAATCTGGAGTCAATCTACTATGTGAGGAATTATCAAAGGAATGATAATCTGTTTGACAACAAGTACAACCCAAAATTTAGAAATCATCTTAATCTCTCTTGGAGAAATCAGAACGTAGCCAACTCGCAACATCAATAGTATCAACTATAACATTACACTCAACAGAGTCAAATGCCGTACCTGTAGGTACAACAATCTGTTGCTTAGCCACAACAAAAGCAGAATTATCAAGGTCAATCTTTGAATCAATCTTTAACCTTGACACCTTTTGAACCCATGATGAAAGAATATACAGTGAGCCAATCTGCCTCATTAAGAGCTATTAAAAATCGGATTGGAAAAATGGCTAATGCTCTAAATAGTCGATTGTGAGGATTGCTGCCTAGCGACACTGAAAGTCCTAAGTAAAATGGTAAGGAGCATTGTAAGCCATTACCAAAAGAAGTAGAATTCACATCAGGGAACCAGTTGAAAAATCGAGGAAGAAGATTGAGGAAGCTCATCATCATGGTAAAGGAAAGAGTAAAGAAGTTGAGCCTAAACCGTATGTGAGTCAATTTCCAGCAACATATACGGGATAAAGTAGTAATTTAGAGTCATTGTTGACAGTAAACCCTTATGCATCTGATGCAGAGTCGACTCCATTACCTCAGGAACAAAAAAAAAAGTGTCTCCAATATTTTCACATCGCTTCAAGAAAACAAAGAAATGTCAATAATACAAATCTTTATTGATGTCCTTCCCCAACTCACAAATTAGCATATCATTGATTTATGCTTTATAGCAAAACCTGAATTATATCAAATTCATGAAGGAAGTTCTTTCGAAGAAACGAAGACTTGGTGAGTTTGAGACAGTTACTCTTACTGAAGGTTGTAGCGCTACGGCTACAAGTCAATTGCCACTAAAGCTCACGGATCCAGGGAGTTTCACTATTTCTTGTAATATTGGTGACGCATTTGTATGTAAAGCTTTATGCTATTTAGGTGCTAGCATAATATAATGTCATTGTCAATCTTTAGGAAATTTGGAAGTGGAAAAGTAAGGCCCACTACGGTTACTTAACAACTTATTGATTGCTCTACCGTGCATCCTAGTGGTATCGTGGAGAACATGCTTGTGAGATTGGAAAAGTTTATGTTTCCTACGAATTTTATAATTTTGGATTGTAAAGCGAATAAAGATGTTATAACTATTCTCAGTTGCCCATTCCTCGCTACAAGACGAGTTCTGATTGATGTTGAAAATGGAGAGTTAACTATGTGATTGAATGATGAATATATAACTTTTAATATCTTGAATAACGTGTCTTACATCAATGACAATATTGAGTGTTTCTTCACTTGATTCGATTGATATTTTTGCACAGGAACATTTAGAGGAATGTTATAGCATAAATACAACTTTATGTGATTTCGAAGTATTTGAAGAATTCCTAACGGATAAAGAAATCAAATGTTGTAGCAAGTATCTCCAGAGCATAAAAATTTGCAAGGACACGATCATATCATTCAAGAACCAAAGTCATCTATTAATGAACTACCGAAGCTTGAATTGAACTATCAAAGCATTTAAAATATGTTCATCTTGGAGAAAATGAGATGTTGCTAGTCATTGTGGCAGCACAGCTTACGACATCACAAGAAGCCAAGCTAATTGTTGTACTGAAATAGTTTAAAAAGGCCTTTTGCATGGAGCATTGCTAATATAGAAGGTATTGATCCTAAATTTGGCATGCATAAATTTCTTTTGGAGCATCCCAATAATATCTCAATTGAACACCAGTGGAGATTAAATCTAATCATAAAAGAAGTTGTTCAAAAAGATATTATAAAATGGTTGGATATTGGGATCATATACCCAATTTTGGACAGCAATTGGGTTAGTATTGTGCAATGTCTTCGAAAGAAGGAAGGCATTACTATGGCTACAAATGATAAAAATGAATTAGTGTAGAAGAAAACTACTACGAGTTAGAGGATATGTATAGGCTATAGGAAGTTGAATAAAGCAACGAGGAAATACCACTTCCCATTTCTGTTTATAGACCAAAATGCTAGATCGACTTGCGGACAATGCTTTCTATTGTTTTTTAGATGGATTAGTGGTTATAACCAAATTGTTATAGCTCTAAAAGATTAAGAGAAAACAACTTTTACATGTCCGTATGGAACCTTTGATTTCCGTAGAATGTTGATTGGGTTGTGTAATGCTTGAACGACATTCCAGCACTGTATGATGGCTATATTCTCTTATATGATTGAGGATTATCTTGAAGTTTTTATGTATGATTTTTCAGTCTTTGGGTAGGATTTTGAGAAGTGTTTGAGTAATTTGGTTGCATTGTTTAGAAGATAAGAAGAGACAAACTTAGTTTTGAGTTAGGAAAAATGCCATTTTTTGGTCACGAAGGGCATAGTGCTAAGGCATTGAAGTGGTAAAGAAAAAGTAGAAGTTGTTGAGAAATTGCTACCACCTACTAATGTGAAGACAGTTCGAAGTGTTCTTGTTCATGATGGTTTTTATAAAATGTTTATTAAATATTTTTCTCGAATTGCTAAGCCATTGTGCTAATTGCTCGAACAAAATAGGAAGTTTGTTGTTAACGATGAAGTGCTTCAATCTTTTGAGACAATTAAATTGAAGTTAGTGAATGCCCTTATTATTATGAGACCTGATTGGAATTTTCGTTTTGAAATAATGTACGTTGCTAGCGATTTCGCAGTAGGACCAGTGTTGGGCAGCGTAAGGATAAAATGTTTCACACCATACATTATGCAAGTAGGACAATAAATGAAGCCCATATTAACTATGACACAACGAAAAAAGAGTTGCTATTTGTGGTGTTTTCTTTTGACAAATTTCGTTCATATTTAATGGGCACAAAAGTAATTCTTTATACTGACCACTAAGCATTGAATCATTTATTTGCTTAGAAGGATAGAAAACCTCAGTTGATTCGATGGGTGTTTTTACTCCATGAATTCGTTATTGAGATTCAGGATAAGAAGGGATCTGAAAATCAAGTGGTTAATCACTTATCTATGTTAAAATTAGGTAGCAAAAATGGCAGCATTTCAATAACTCCAAACAAATTCCTTGATGAGCGTATGTTAGCCACTACAACATTACCATGGTATGTTGATTTTTCCAACTATCTAGTAAGTGGTATGATAACACCATACCTTAATTATCCAGGCCGAAGGAAATTTATGTGAGATATAAAGCAATAACATTATATATATTTAAGCAATGTAATAATCATCTTATAAGGTGATGTATCCCTCATTGTGAGTAGCAAAGTATTTTACAACATTGTCATAGTGCCCCATATGGTGGACATTTTGGAGGTATGCGTACAACAACAAAAGGGCTTCAATGTGGATACTATTCGCCATCGCTTTTTAAAGATGCTAATGACTTTGTAAAGTGTTGTGATCGCTACCAGCGAACTAGGAATATTTCTTGGCAACATGAAATGCCAGTGCAACCTATTTTGGAGATCGAGTTATTTTATGTATGGGGATTAGACTTTATGGGTCCATACCCTTCTTCATGTGGCAACCTCTTCATTCTAGTTGTTGTAGATTACGTATCTAAAAGGGTGGAAGTTGTAGATTTTCCAAACAACAATGCTAAAGCAATGTTACGATTCTTGCTTAAAAACATTTTCACTCGCTTTGGAACCCCTCGTGTATTTATCAGTGATGAAGGATCGCAATTTATTGGTCATCACGTTGCTAGAGCATTTAAAAAATATGGAGTGATGTATAAGATTGATACAACATATCAGCCACAGTCTAATGGCCAAGTTGAAGTCTCTAATTGTGTAATCAAATAAATCCTTAATAAAATTATGAACCCTTATCGAAATGATTGGTCCCAGTGCCTTGAAGAAGCACTATGGGCTTATAAAGCTGCTTATAAAACTCCATTGGGAATGTCCCCTTATCGTCTTTTTTATGGTAAAGTTTGTTACTTACCAGTGGAGTTAGAGCATAAAGCTATGTGGGCGTTAAATAGGCTGAATTTTGATCTAGATGATGCGGGTGAAAAATGGATGTTGGAACTTAATAAATTAGAGGAGATTCAAAATAACGCCTTTGAGAGTTCTCGTATTTACAAAGACAATAGCGACAAGTGGCATGATCAGAATATTTTACCAAGGGAATTTTTTGTTCGATAGTAAGTGTTGTTATTTAATTCGAGACTAAAGTTATTCCTTGGGAAATTGCATTCTCGTTGGTCATGCCCTTAAAAATTCTTGAAATTTTCCCTCACGGTGTAGTATTATTGAAGAAATTGGTGGATGAAAGAACATTTAAAGTTAACGGGTAACGTTTAAAGCATTATTGCCAGCAACTAAACCTAGCATCACTTCGATCACACTAAGAGACCCTTCTTTTTAATATTTTGTTCTTTTGAATAAGTCAATTCTTTTGAAATTTTTTTTTAAATACTTATTTTCTTATTTTCTTTTTGTATATGTATTTTCATTTGATCACTCCCAGTCAACTATTCTATACTGCACAACTTTTCACATCATGGTGTACGTCTATCGATGTATTGAAAATGTGGCAATACAAGGATACCTAAATATATTTAGTGGTAAAACCGGTGTGAGTTGTCTACCATTTACCCGTC